TTAAAAATAGGCTAATAAATAATTAACATATCATACAAAATTGCGTTGCAGCAAATCCTTTAAATTTTAAGGTATTCAGAACGGGGCAACATAAAAATCAGAAAATATAAGCAGCTGTACAATTATAGGACAAAGTTTTACATATATGCCATTATAATTTGTGTTTTATTTTTTAATTGTACGGAATTATAAAATAAAACGCAGATTATAATTGGGTCTGTTTTAGGCTTTTCCTTGTTTTTATATTTTAGACATCCATCAATTACGGTGATGAAAAAAATAACTCGCCATCTCCGCATTGGATGTGCCTTTAGAGAGAAATGCAGGGATTACATAATGAAAGAGTTTCTATTTTCGATTTGAATTATTTAGTTTAAAGTAGTAATTTAAAGCTTTCTATATTTTTTCAATTCACGGAGTTTAGGTTCATCATTGTGAAGCGCTCCTATTCAAGACCGAGACGGCAGAGAGCGTTTGTTTTCTTTATTTTATAAAAGCACATAGTTTGGTTGATATTGTGAGTGCACACAAATAAAACTAGACCCTTTACAGTTTAGAATGATGTATTACTCTTACCTTTATGAGCAAAAATGACTGCGTATTTTAAGTTGTTTCCACTGTTAGAAAAAATGCAAGTGATCGCGATGGCGCCTCCATGTCCTGCAGAGCTTCAGCTTCCACTCTCCGCACATTTATCTAGGTTAAACATTTAAACTAACATTGTGATATGCTTGAACTGTTTTATATAGAGATTTTATTTTAGGCAAGTCGTGATGATTTGAGAAGGCTAAATCGATCAAGGCTATGATCAACTCACTGCCGCTGGCCGTTACTTAAAAAAAAAACTTACATTTAACGAACAAAAAATGCTCCAAACGTTTTTCTAAATTTACTTTATTAAAAAACGAAATGAAATATAATCACTTTTCCATTACATACAAAACTGAATTATTTTAATTGCTGAAACAGTAGTATAACCTTTTTTTGGGAAGAGGGGAAAAGAGACGGGCTAGGGCCTATATTTGAGACCCGTGCAGGGCTCTAATCCACTTCATCCAACGCTGTTTTGTTCTCCTCTGTGAGCATGCTCTTAATATATGTATTTTACCATTTTGTTGAGTTTAAAACGTGTGACACATTCGTTCTGCTCTCACTGATCATTTGGTCCCCCTCCCCCCCCAAAAAAAACAAAAAAAACAAAACTCTGTGCATACCCTCTGAAGAAATCTTGCAGGCGCCCCTGAGCTTCAATACTGGAACTATTGGCTGCTCCATGACACGCTTTACTTCCGCATTCCTCAGTTCCTATGGACCCCTAAGGGAGTGTCGCAACTCTGTTTCTCAATGGCTCTGGTTGCAACCACAACTGTTTCTGAGGAACTACATTGTTTGGTGGCAGAATACTGTTTTTATTAATATTATTACACTTTATTTGCTCTGTTTTATTTAGTGAAACCTTACTATATATATGGAATAACCGTTTTATAAAAGCAGTAACCCCCGTGAAGGCGTGGTTAACAGTGAATTTATAACAGCTAAGGGGGTTTAACTCCGCTTCGCGTCGTACCTAACAACGCCCCTTAGCTGTTATAAATTCACTGTAAACCACGGCTTCTTGGGGCTTATTGCTTTTATAGTGTACTGCAGTTGAGTGCACTATATCAGAAAGCAGGGAACGAAATGAAGTGATGAATTCGGACGCTGATGTATACACTTCGCGTCAGAGAGCGGGAGCTGTCACGGAAACATATTCATCACATATGTACATTTATCTTACATGTACCTTATTTAAGAAAATAATATTAATAACAATAACACTCACAATGACTTTATATTGTAATTATACATACCTCAATGCCAGCTTTGTGGTTTCATCGATGGTATATTAGTATTTTTTTTATTTTTTTTTTATAATAATAAAAGATTGTCACACCACTTCTTTTAAAGAGTTTGGTTCTTTTATGGGGCTTTTTCCCCCTTCATTATAATACTGGGACAGAACACCCTACCATTTTTTAATACACTTAAATTGACCCGGTTTTGTAAATAAATACCCTCAAGGTCAAGAGCATTTTAATGAGAAACACCAATTTAATCATGTGTTTCCAGACACTTGACTGTGTGTTACTGCTTACACCAGTAAGTATTTCACAATATTATCTACTGCATGGATGGAATATAATTAAGATGTGCACTATTTGCATGTAAGTTTACAGAATATAAATCACACAGCTTTATACTTGCCTAAATTGACAGATTTCGTGTCACTCGCATGGAGAAGAGGAACAGCCTGCAGGGCTCGATGAATCTTCCTGTGCCGAAGCTCGGAAACACGTCGAATGACACGACGCTCTCAGACAGCAGGACTTGCTCTAAAGACACTTCCAAAAAACCTCCGGAGGATTACAACATCCGCAACATGTTCGGAGATGGCAAAGTCCCCAACCTCGGCAAACGCAAGAAAAGCGTGACACTGCTGGGCTTCTATAAGGCTGGGAATCCTGCGGAGAGTAAAGCGGGACAGAAGGTGTTTGTGGAGGACAAGGAGGAGTCGAGCACCACCAATCATTTATCTGAATGCTGCAGCTCCGGCGCGCCGTCTCCCACCGAAACCACTTTAGATGAAAACTCAAATAAAACCTCCGGGAATCAATTACAGGAGACTCTGAGAGAGAGCGGCCCAGAGAACCAGAAGACTGATGAAGCCACTTTAAATGTGGACTCGCAGGACAAAATAAGAACAAACACATTAGGGATTGTTGGTGATGGTTCTAATAGCTGCTCTAGGTTTTCAGTACGAACTGTGGAAGAAACTATCACCACACCTGCAGCCGCCGCTGACAATAGAGATGATGTGATGAAACACAATGACCTTAAGCCTGGACAAGCTAGTCAGGAAAGTACAGACACTCAGCAGTAGACCCACAAATATAACATCATGAGATGTTCAAACTAGAGGTCAACCGATTGATCGGTTTTTCCGATTAATTGGCACCGATAGTTGATTGCAAAAATCCATGCTGATAGTTTTTCTGGGTTGCCGTCCTTTGCTTTATTATACAGGTGCATCTCAATAAATTAGAATGTTGTGGAAAAGTTCATTTATTTCAGTAATTCAACTCAAATTGTGAAACTCGTGTATTAAATAAATTCAATGCACACAGACTGAAGTAGTTTAAAGGGGTGGTTGATTGCGATTTCACTTTTTTAACGTTAGTTAGTGTGTAATGTTGCTGTTTGAGCATATCAAAAAGCTGGTCAGCAGAAGGAAGCATGAAGTGCTCCAAAATTTCTTGGTAAACGGGTGCAGTGACGTTGGTAAAACAATGTGCCCAAAACACATGCAAGTCTCACGCAAATGCTTAATTTTACGATTGTTAACATCTATTTGCATTAGTTTATATCCAGCTGGTCACTTTAATGCGTTTGTTATCCAGCGAAGTTGCAGATTTAAACCTGTGATGTGAGAAAGCACATTGATATATGAATACAGCTGAAAGAAATCCTGCCGCGCCACATAGTTTTCCAATAAATTACATTATATTTGTCCCAAATCGTTGTTAATGTACATAAAGACTTCACCCTAGCCTATAAAATTGTGTATTGTGCATTTTTTCAGCGAAACGTTTGTCTTTCTGTGTCTCTAATAAAGTCTGTTTGCTTCATATAGAGAGCTATAAATATAGATCACACTTTCTCTTTCTGCTTGCTCTGTTTTTTTAAACACCGAACTTCAAACTCATCCGTGCCGTGTGAGGACCCCGGGCTGGACTCCGCTTCGGCCACGGTGAAAGCCGATCTGGCGATCCACAGCGTGAAGTTGTAGTATTTCCTCAGCGACCAGCACGGATCAGCTCCAGGCATGACGAAGCAGATATCGTCCTCTTTTGGAAGGCCAAACAAAGTAGTTTCGCTTTCACAACGAAACACACAGCGCCTTCACGACATGGCAGCGGCCGCACAATACTACAGCGAGAATAAAAGTTACGCCTTCTTTCTTTGCGTGAACATTCGGGCGGCGTTATGCAAATCTTCCCACATAGTGACGTAGATATGGGGGGTGTGTTAGAACGAGCCGTTTTAGGTAGGACTATTAACTTTTATAAAGAATATCTCTTTGGATTTGAGACTTTAGTCTTTGCAACTTTACAGATCTTCTTTATGCACCAAGAGCTTGTAACACTCCAAAGAGAAAGGAAAAATTGAAATCGCATCATATGACCCCTTTAAAAAAATAAAATAAAATAAAAAACAGTAAGAGAATCAGAGTTTTGTCTCAGGAGTCTGTGTGTAATCTCTTACTGGAATGGGTTTGTAAGTGATGTTCCCTGGAAGAAAGTTTGGTCATTATCTCAAATACCTGATAACTAACACAATGAGAGACATTACATTTAATTGGATTCATAGATAATTTAATGCAGATACGTGCTCTCTTAAAAGACTTAAGAATGATATTCTTTCCGTTCAGAGAACCCTGAAACCTCTTTACATTTATTGTGGAGTTGCTCTCACACAACGACGTTTTGCTGTGACATTCTTGATATTATCAAATGTTACATGAACCCTAATTTTGCGTATGCAATTTTGGGTTTCCATGAATCTGAGAAAAGTGATAGGCCTACGTATTTCATAAACCTTATTTTCTTGTTAGCCGAATGTCATATTCATAAATGTACATTTTCTAAATGCAAACCTCTTTTTCTTTTAAAGATTCAAACTTGAAATGAACATGTATTTTGAATCTATTGAGTTCTCTTAAAAGCAATAAGTACAACGGCTTTGTTGAAGGACTTGGCACTTCCTCTGCAAGACTGAAGGACCCTGGAGTGTTATTGATGTTGTATTGCTATTATTTGACAATGACAATCGTAGTTATTGTTTTTTTCCAAGCATTCAGTAAAAATAAAAAGGCACTCTGGTTTCAGAACAGCAGCAGCAGCAGGACTCAGACCGGAAGTTCGACCAGCTTCATGCAAATACCGAGAGAAAAAGCGCACGTGACTTGACTCGCTGTGATATGCAGGGACTGCCGTCTGTCATCTGTGCGTCAGTTATATATTACACACCGGACGCTTTGCGATCAGATATTGGCTTTCACTGTGGTTAAACTGGCATTGTTTATAGTGCGCATCTTTCCAGCTGTAACCGCGCGCCTGTGATCAGTACGTTGGCCGTGTGTTGAATATATCTTCTGCACTGGCTGTGACACACCCGAGGAGGACGGAGGCGCTGAAGCGGATCTCTCCCGGTTCAGCGGAAAGACTCCCGCTCGCCTTATTAATATTAATGCAATAACGTCACCGTTCGCTTCAGGAAGCGACAAGCTGTTACGCGTTGCATCCATAAGCTTAGTCACGTCGAGGTGCGTTCAGGATTGTGTAATTGAGCAATGGCGTCGCTGGGACACACATGAGATCAGCTTAGGATCTGTTTGTTGCTGCGGCGCCCGAAAACTCCCACCAGACTGTAACCTGCAATAGTTGAGAAATGGCCATCCGGCGGACCAGCACGAGAACAGGCTAAAGCTACAGGTACGTGTGCAGGATGATTAATCACCATTATTATTAATATTCGTACAGTATTTAAATCACGTTCAGGTGTAAACAAGAGCATAATATGGATAAACGTTCTGCCTACTAATTAGGGTGTAAATATGATGTGGCTTATTATATAGCCTATCTTTATGTCTGTTGTATCAAACAAGCAGCTGATTGAAATGTAGCGAGTTAAGAACGTTACATTTTCCCCCAAACTTCCTTAATGTGTTATTTGTTACAGCAGTTAATTACCCAAATTAATCTTGTGGTTGTTGTTTTTATATGGTTATATGCAAATTAAAGGCGTGTGTAGGCTATTGTGGAGTACACAAGTTTTCTTTTAAAAAGTATTTGTGTGGTTTGTTATTTGGACGTAGCCTACACCTTGCAGCCTGCTGAAGAGATTACATTAATGTTATCATTAGGGATGTATAACGATTCACTCAACTCACGATTCAGTTTGATTCACAATTTTTTTTTTAACAAAATGAGATTTAAGACAACATTGCCCATTTAGGATTACACGTTAAAAGCTGAAGTGTGGATCATTGTCAGTATTTGACAAACTAGTTAAAGTTGAAGTAGAATATCGAAGGATGATGTAGAATCAAAAACTAGACTGGAGCACTTGAATGAGCTGTGAAGCTGCAACAGAACACTTTGTGTGGTTTGTTATTTGGACGTAGCCTACACCTTGCAGCCTGCTGAAGAGATTACATTAATGTTATCATTAGGGATGTATAACGATTCACTCAACTCACGATTCAGTTTGATTCACAATTTTTTTTTTAACAAAATGAGATTTAAGACAAATTATAAATTAAATGTGTCCTTTTATTATTGCTTGGACAAAACACTGCACGTTTCTTTGTGAAACTGAAATATAACACTATAATAATATATATAGCACTTGCATATTATTGCTCTTTTGTTGATTTTGATTGCTTCTATTGTCCTCATTAGTTACCCAGATAGCAAAATGACTCCGGAGCGGATCCGCAAAACGGGTCCGTGTCGGAGTCCACTTGCACAGCGCAACGGATCCGGACCAGACCCAACCCGTATGCCCTAATAAAGTGGTTCATCCGGCCCGGATCCGATCCGGACCTGTTGATAAAGAAACGGATCCGATCAGGACCCGCTGATTAAAAGTAACTCATCCGGACCGGATCCGATCTGGACCCGTTAATTTAGTGGGTCTATACCTTATTTAAAATGGATAATCTGGCCAAAACTAGCTATGGGAATACCTAAAATAGAGCCAACAATCATTATATAGACTAGACTGCTCTATAAAAGTGTAATATGTCTCCCTTTATTAATATTAATAAACCATAAAATCATTCAAAACTTGAAAAAAATCTAAACTTTGCTTGGCCAGCAATAATGAAACACTGTATAAAAAGTAGGTAATTACATGAAGAAAAATAAAAAAATTAAATGCAACCACAAATTGTACAAAAACATTGTTTTATTTAATAAAAACTTTACTTCTAAACAGACAATTCAGTTCAATAACTTTGTAAAGTTAATATTTACGAATGAATTAGTTAAATTCAGCCATACGGAATTTTATAGCACACAAAAGTTTCATTCACTTTGTGTCAGCTTGATGTTGATTTAATAAAATTCAATATCAGTGAAAATGTTGCAAAATTAATACATTATGAAACAAAGTCTTGGCGATAAAGCAGCTCTGGAGAAAACAGTGATATCATAATCCAGCTCAATAAAATAAAAAATAAAATGCAACCACAAATTGTACAAAAACATTGTTTTATTTAATGAAAAACTTTACCTCTAAAAAGACAATTCAGTTCAATAAGTTTGTAAAGTTAATATTTACGAATGAATTAGTTAAATTCAGCCATACGGAATTTTATAGCACACAAAAGTTTCTATTATCGCCTGCAGTTATTCCTGAAGAGGGGTGAAAAATTACCTAACGTTACATATAGGATTAAAATCCGGATAGCCAACTAAACTACCCGTCTCACAGAAATGAGGGAGATCCCATCCAAATAGGCCTATTATTAACGTACTCAAATCTATGATAATGCTAATAATGATAAAGAGCTAACCTTAACTGGACATTCCACAACGCAATTTCAAAAATTAAAAACTACAACAAAGCAATTAACAACTTTATTATATTAACCTTAATGTTACTGGCAACTGTACATATAAAGCATATTTAAACAGTATTCTTGCCGAGTTCAGCCGGCCGCAGCTTCCACACTCTGAGGAGGATCTGATTAAACAAAATAAGGCTTTGTCTGTGCTCTTTCCATTTAAAATTAGAAGCAACCAAATTACATTACATTACATTACAAACTAGATTGTATAATTTCTTTAACTGAACTTCGGTACTTTTTTGGTCATTCAGTGTTTCTGTAAGAAAAAATAAAAAAAATTGGGGGGGGGGAAAAATTACTGGTAAGATGATAATGATACAAATTAATAAGAACAATATAAAACGCACTAAGGATTAATGAGCTACTGGATTCATGAATATTAATCAGGTTGTGTGCCCCCTCAGACATACATTCATATAAACTCCTACCCCTAAATGAAACGCGATTTGTTTAGCATCTCAACCGATTTGAATCGTCACATATTTGAATCGATTTCAACCGGCTCGCGGTTAATCGTTACATCCCTAGTTATCATGCTGTTCATTTATCTATTTGGTGATGTTATTATAGTAAGTGTTCAAAAACATGGTAACACAATGTGTCAAATCAGCCTAAATTCAGAAACTTCCCCAGCTTAAAATTTTGATTTAGTTAAAATTTGAAAGACAAACATATAAAGTGATGAAAGGCAGTAAATTTACGGGGTAATCCACTGTTTTATAAAGGAGGGTCAAAGTGACAATTCTGACAAATGACGGGTGTAAAATGACTTTAGAACGATGGCACCATCATTCTGTAATTCTTACACGGAGATTGGTACTGTAGGTCTGTTAGTAAAATCTGTTGACTTCAGCAATTTACGTTTCATTATATGCCAACGGTGACAATTCAAAAATGGCAAAAAGCACTTGTGTATTTTGCCTCAGGTTGGCATGCCTGTAACTGTAACCAGAACATTTCAGATGCTGTTAGAGCCAAAATGATTGACTTGGTCTCGTGAGACCAGAGTTTGAAACCACTTCTTTAAATGTTTTGCTTTACTAATTATATTCTGTAAAATTAATTATGAAAATCCACCCGCTCCTTTTTTTTTAATCCCCATAAATCATAAGCAGTGTCCCAGAACAAGCCATTGGCAGAATCTGTAAAAAGTGACGTTACATTGTACAGGCCCCGCCAACGACTGTTGACGGACACGGCTGTATTAGCATAGACCCGCCCTAAATGAGCCGCACACAGTTCGACACGTTCATCTTCACGCTACAGCATTTAAAAGCAGCATTCATGTAAGAAATGTCTTATTAGAGCTACATAAATTATTCATTCAAGAGCAGTGTGTGATTTTCTGTTTTTATTTTATTATTATTTGGCTCATATTAACAGCGTAGACCGCAGTAGGCACTGTTTATTACACTGCTGTCACTTACACAGATCTAATACAAACATGCGATTTCTTTCCCAGCTGTTTACCTTCACAGACAAACTGACTGTTTTTGTAACTTATTTGTGTTTTTAACATATACTTGACAGTTTAAGTGCAATAAGACATGAAAGAGAACTTCGTTTAGTGATCACACGCTGTGTGACAGCCGCTTTCTGTGTGCTCAGAAGACACTATATCAGAAGTTTACACTGATATGGCTTTAAAACGCATGATTTCAGCACGATAGACATGATAATCAAAACCAAACAGATTTTTTTTTATCAGAGTATACAGTGGGTACGGAAAGTATTCAGACCCCCTTAAATGCTCTTAGGAACCTTAAGTGCAGCAGAATTTTTTTTGTAACCTTGGCCAGATCTGTGCCTTGCCACAATTCTGTCTCTGAGCTCTTCAGGCAGTTCCTTTGACCTCATGATTCTCATTTGCTCTGACATGCACTGTGAGCTGTAAGGTCTTATATAGACAGGTGTGTGGCTTTCCTAATCAAGTCCAATCAGTATAATCAAACACAGCTGGACTCAAATGAAGGTGTAGAACCATCTCAAGCATGATCAGAAGAAATGGACAGCACCTGAGTTAAATATATGAGTGTCACAGCAAAGGGTCTGAATACTTAGGACCATGTGATATTTCAGTTTTTCTTTTTTAATAAATCTGCAAAAATGTCAACAATTCTGTGTTTTTCTGTCAATATGGGGTGCTGTGTGTACATTAATGAGGAAAAAAAAATAACTTAAATTATTTTAGCAAATGGCTGCAATATAAGAAAGAGTGAAAAATTTAAGGGGGTCTGAATACTTTCCGTACCCACTGTATCTGAGGTACGAGCCGTAAAGGCTCCACCCTATTCTGGAAAAGGGGGCGGGGAGCAGCAGCTCATTTGCATTTAAAGAGACAGGCACGAAAACAGCGTGTTTCTGCTTCCACTCAAAATAGGCATTTTCAAAATGATATAATAAATGATCTGTGGGGTGTTTTGAGCTGAAACTTCGCAGACACATTCTGGGGACACCTGAGACTTATATTATATATTGTAAAAAGGGGCACGATAGGTGCCCTTTAACATACTTACCTGTTGATCAAAAATGCCTTTAACTTGTAACTTGAAAATTTGCCGAATTTGTTAACAGATTTATGAAAAGGATTGGGAATGCAGTCTTGGGCGAAACTTTCTCTTGGTGGATTCAGTACTGCAGCATTTGTGCTATTTCAGTCTGGGTTTTTTCCGCTTTTAAGGTGTCATCGACCGCATGTGGAAGCACACAACTCTTGTATAACTCCAGACAGCAGAAGTGCAGAGAGGATGTTGTGGTCTGATACCATGAGGAGAGTTGTCAGACAGTGGTATTGTCAACCCAGGTAAACAGTAGACATGAGAATACTAGAATGCTTCCTTACCTGGTAACCACTAAAGATTAATTCATCCAAGAATGTCTAGTTACTAATGCTGTACGGTAAGTTTAAGTATTTATTTTTTTTCACTCCAGCAGAAGGCTGCTTATTGCTCTTCTGAGCTTGGCGTTGATCTTGCTGGCTCTTTTGAAGCTGCCTCTCTTTCACACGGACCCAAAGCCTGTGGAGGTGCCAGTAGACCCCGTCTACCGAGAGGTGCGTCTGTCTGTCTTTCACGTCGTTTTTACAGCAGATTCAGGAAGCATCTACACCATTTTTGTGATCTACTCAAATTCAGATATACATTTTGCTTCTGTGTTTTTCTGTGGCATAGCTGCTGGTGCATAAAAGCAGATCTGTGGTGTGAACTTGTGACCATATTTGGCTAACAATGCTTCTGGAAAACACAGAAGTGATACGAATAATGAACTCTCTAGAACTGTTTGCTTCCGCTCGACTTTTGGAGTACAGATAGCTGCTGTGAATATTAATTGTGCCTACATGAGCTTATTTATGAATGGATATGATATGAGTGATATTTTATAGTTTTTCTGACTTTATTCTACTATGTGGAAAATAGTAGGTAACAACGTCACATTGAGTGATGTTCACTCCAACATACTCATCATGCAGGTGTTTAATGATCGTTTGGTGATCTGTTTGTCTTTACCGTGAACAAGTTTGTTGTGAACTGCACTAAATGAATGAACGAGCATTTTTTGCGTCCCTCAAACCAGCAGCAGAGAAAGTGACAATATTATTGTAAAACTTCTATGCATTGAAATTGTATGCAGTCAGTTAAAGTGTAATAGCACATCAAATGTAATCCTGTAGTTATCAGTGAAGTTTATGGTATTGTGTGGCAAAATAGTGTGCATAGGGAATACATGATATGTTCAATATGGTCTGACCGATCGAAAGAGAAGTCTGGAGAAGTTTGAAATGGAAAATGTGTGGGGACTAGGCATGGGCCGGTATGAGATTTTGACGGTATGATAACCTTAAGCAAAAATATCACGGTTTAACGGTATCACGGTATTGTTGTTACAGCTCTAAAATGTATAACGGAAAATGTTAGTGGTTTTGAAACTGTGACATTTTCAAACCGCGGTATACCTTGATACCGGTAATCGGCCCATGCCTAGTGGGGACCCTGAATATTTCCATCTACATGTTTGGACACTAGGGATGGGCGATATCTTATCATTTACGATATACCGGTAAAAATTCTCCCCACGATAAGAATTAGTCTTCCTGCGATAATAACGATAAAGTCTAGTTGTTGACATTTCTGTGTGCGCCAGTGCGGAGCGACATCACGGAAAGTGGACGTGAAATTGAGGAGGAGTAGCCTATATCGCTAAATGAGGAGCTTGAGCTGTAACTGGTTTGGTTAGGGTTGTACAGTGCACAAAAAATCGGTCTGAATAAATGTACTACAGTAGCACATGTGCGATAAAGTTTTGCATGTGTATGAGCCTGTTTACAAAACTGTTGTCCTCATAATAATGTCCTCATATGAGGATGCAGGGTCTCAGGAGGTTAATGCTCACCCTATTTTGGGTAAAAATAGGAAAGATAATACTTTTCTTAAAAGAAACAGGATTCCCTGAATTATCGTCATTGATATCGTTATCGTAATAAATACCAGAAATATCGTGATATATTTTTAAGCCCATATCGCCCATCCCTATTGGACACATTAGATGATGTTTCAGGTACATTATAATAAACTATTGTACGCTGAGTTTGTTTATACAGAAATATAATTAGATTATTACAGTTTTGTAAAAGCAATGTTTGGAAATCTAAAATTGCTGTTTCCTATTGACACAAATCTAAAGATATAAATAACCATGTTACATGTAATTAAATATTGTTGTTGTGAAGCATCTACCCAAAGACTTGTGCACACTACTGTATGTACTTCAAACTAAATAAGCATTAAATCTAGTCGGCTCCATTGGATAAAAAAAAGGCAGACTTAAAAAAAATTAAAATAAATTCAGCTTCACTGTTTTCTGACCTTCCTTCCATCCCGCTGAATCGAGGGTTTAGGGTCTGTCCATATAAACTTTTCTCGTCTACTTGATGAAGTGTAAAACACTTGACATGTCAGTGGGCGAGTGTTGAGTGTGTGTCAGTGTGAAGCGGAACACACCCTGCTGTCTAAATACCAAATTCAGCTCATCAGCTTGTAATGAGAGAGCTCGTCAGATAAGATAGATGTGCAGAGCAACTGTTCTGGAGGAAATACGTTTGGGTCAATGTTATTTGTGTAGCACTTTCCCGATTCATGTCGTTTCAAAGCAGCTTTACAGAAGTTAATACTGTACATTTTTATGATACCTAAAATGGCTCGTTCACACCAAGATGAATGTTGGCCATGGACATTTTCTGCATTTGATTTGTCTGTTCAGATCAGTGTGGAAAAAACTGCATATTGTTGGACTGAAAGTGTATTCCTCATTTGTAAGTCGCTTTGAATAAAACCGCTAAATGAAATAAATTAATAAATGGAAAATGGAAATTCACACTCTGACAGTTGCTGCTGCTTATAGAAAAGCAGAAGTGCCCTGATACACACTGCAGTGCTGTGCAACTTTTTCTGACACCTGTTTCTCAAAGAGAATTGAAAAAAAGTCCAAAGGCAGTGGTGGCAAGGGAGGAAAACATAACCACAAAAGCAAATGCCATGCTTCCTAATATCAGCTAATGCAGTTCCTCTCAGCTCTGGTCCTGGCCACAGCACTGCATTCTATATATCTTCCTTATTTACATGCCTGATTCACACATAGAAATGTCGTGGGTCCCTAGATACAGAGGTCTGAACCACTGACCTAAAAGGAGCATGTTCAAGGAGAATATCAAATGGCCTAGGACCAAGCCTTGTGGCACAACATACTTTTCTTTTTGGGGGGTCAAATATTTTAGCAAACTCAGGTAGGATCTAAACCAGACTAGTGCCTGTCCACGATTGGCAAAACATAAAATGAAGATAATATGTTTGCTGATGCCCTGTTATCCATGAGGTAAATTGCACGAAACAAATGTTTTCAGTTAGGTTGATATGAGCGCATGCATTAAGCCCTGTATTTTCACTCATAGCGTGTCCATTCCTATGTCCGAGAGATACTGGCCCAAGAATGCAGACCTTCTTTTGCCCGGCAGAGAATGGAAGCTGAACATTACAGCTCCACACCAGTGCTAGAGCCCTTTTTGGACAAGAACACTCATTTGAATGAACAAATATTCCAATATTCTCCACCGTTTGGTTTCCTGGATATGAAGAACAAGCTTCAGGAGATCCTGGACCTCCTACCAGCCTCCTCTGAGGAGAGACGTGGAGGGAGGGACTGTCGTCGATGTCTAGTGATTGGAAATGGAGGGATACTGAAAGGATTAGGGCTCGGACCTCTTCTTAATCAGTTCGATACCATCATCAGGTGAGAGTCTGCCCCGCTTAATTTGTCTGATTTTAGCTAAAGGACGTGTGCGTGTGTGTTTATGGGACTCTTGTTTGTGTGCAGATTGAACAGCGGTCCTGTGCGAGGTTTCAGTGCAGACGTTGGGAATTGCACCTCCATCAGGATGAGTTATCCTGAGGGCTCCCCGAAGGTCTGGGAAGACACCGATTCGGATCTCAGATTTGTGGCTGTGATCTATAAGTCTGTCGACTTCCACTGGCTTCGTGCAATGATTACCAAGACGTCCGTTGTGAGTGCTTGTTCACGCATCAGGCAGATTGGTTGTCTTGATCAGAGCAGTATGTCTGAATGTCACGTTTAACGCTCTCCTTTCAGTCGCTGTGGAACTGGCTGTTTTTCTGGCAGAATGTGCCGGTGAGTGTCCCGCTTAAGGCCTCTCAGTTTCGTCTGCTGAATCCAGAGATTATTAGAGAGACGGCCTTGGATCTGCTTCACTATCCCAATGTTAGAGAACGGCTGTGGGGCTGGGACCAGGTGAGCTGCTTGTCATTGCTTTTGTAGGGGGATTTTTTTTTCTTTATTAGGGCTGTTGATTTAACTTGGTGCGATTATGTAAAAAAAATAATGTGTTAAAATTATTAACATATTTAATGCAGCGCCCTGTCCCGTCATCTTGTAGTTGCTGAAGAACATGATGCAGGACTGACTGCATGATGGAGTCTATTAGAATGCAGTTATGAGAGCCTAAATGTTAAGATATGAAGGCAAAAAATGCCTCTCTTATATGATAGTTTTCCCCCAATATCTACAGCATTGCAAATGTGATATTGTTTTTATACAACAGTTTAATAAACATGTTTAATTTTGTGGTCGGCCAATATATCGGCATGGGCTGATAATTTTTTCTGTTTGGCCGATGTGTTGGAAGCGGGACTTTTATTTTGATGGCGCTGAGAACGGCGGCGCCTGAGCACACAGCGCTCCCATTCTGCTTCTTCATTAGTTATGGACTCTGTTTAACAGTTTTGTCTAATACGTTCCTAGAGAGAACTGTTAAAGGGGTCATATGATGCGATTTCAAGTTTTCCTTTCTCTAATTTACAGTTTATTCAATTTCTGTAGCCTATTTAAAACACGTTCATAATTTAGAAAATGTAGTTAATACTTGCATCATTAATGATTTATTTTATCCACCCGCGACCCACCCGTAAATAATCAGAATGCATTTTTTTATTACCCGACCCACCCGATCCGCAGATTACATCCATCCGCGCATCACTAATGTACAGTGTGGAAAATAATGTGTTTTTTTAACCTTAAACCGCATAAGCACATTTCATTACACCAAATACACAAAATAATGTTCTTTTTAGCAACATCATATGACCCCTTTAAACAAAGAAACTAAACTGTTTACGAAAAAGTATTACAGCGTTTGCTTTTATATTATTAGTAACAGAAAGTCAAACACTATAATAATTTCTCATTTGACGTCAGCATTCAGCAAACACGCATTTATATAATTTAAACAAATTTTTGAATATCTAATAAACATTTAATTTCACGAACCTTGCAGACTTGCGAATCCAGCTGTCGGATATTCTGAAGTGTGCATTTGTAGCCAGCATGAACGTGTTCTGCACGTGACTGAGAGTTTAGATGTCACTGGAGACGCACGATCAACAAACATTAAACCCTTGATTTCAAATTATGCTGCACTATATTCAGTTGCCCACCCTCATATTCACTGTGTGCTGCATGTAAAACTAGTATTACGTTGTCTTTATTAGATAAAACATGATCCCCAGTGTGCACAAACTTACCAGATTACGGAGCGCCAGCTTGGTTACAGTGTTACTTCCTTTTTATTCATGTTTCAAACAATTTCTCTATTTGAGAAAAATACTGTAATATGATTACAGAATCAAGGAGTTGCCATCTAATGTAAATTGGTTTAATTTGTAGGGATGCACCGAAAATATAGGCTACATATAATAATAATAATAATAATATATATATGGCGTGCCGTGTCGCGCTGCGTCACGCCCGGCAGTGTTCAGCGCGCATGTTTCACTCTCCTTGTCACTGCGCGGAGACGCGGTTTGACGCTCAGCTCAATATTCCGATCTATGAATGTGCGTTCCGCTCGTGTACCTCTCATGCTCATCGGAAAAGCAAGGTCCGCTCAAATAACGCGCTGACAGGAAATTTCTATGCAGTATAGGCCTGCTTGTTCCGGTTTGCAGTAGCGCTACTGTGCTGTAACATGGTGTAGGCTAGTTCAGCTGTACTGGGCAACGCTGCTAAAATAATGCTACCTTCAGTGACGCTATGCTCTGCTCATATTGTCTGATAATAATAGCTTCGTAGGACTATACATTATTTGGATAATAGTAAAAAAAAAACTTATATCTGATTCTGTTACATAGAAGTGAATAAAAATAATATATTGATATTTAATATTAAGGTAACACTTTTCAATAAGGTTCCATTAGTTAATGTTAGTTAATGTATTAACTATCATGAACGAACAATGAACAATACATTTATTACAGTATTTATTCATCTTTCTTAATGTTAATGAGAATACAGTTATTCACTGTTAGTTCATGTTAATTCAGAGTGCATTAACTGTTAACAAGCACAACTGTTGATTTTAATAATGCATTAGTAAATGTTGAAATTAAAATAAACTAAGATTAATAAATGCTGAAGAACTATTGTTCATTCTTAGTTCATTATCTAACGTAGTTAACTAATGAACCTTATTGTAAAGTGTTACCAATATTAATATAAATTCTGTCCAGTTTTATTGTTACTTTCAGTAAAAGTGTGGTTATTTTATTGGCTTGGGTTTTTTTTAATTCAGTATCATTAAAATTTAGTTCAATTTGAAATAAAGTCTTACAAAATTACTTTATATTATTTCATAAAATAATAAATAATCATTACAAAGCAGTTTCGGTTTTCGGCCAAGTGCATCCAGAATTTTCGGTTACCGTTTCGGCCCAGAATTTTCATTTCGGTGCATCCCTAGATGTAAGACTACA